CCCCACCGAGGCGAGAGCTTCATACCGTTCTCCTCGACCCGCGCGCACCCTCTTCACGCCGACGACCGAGTCTTTCTCGTTTCCTCCGTTTCGCCGCTCTGCGAGTTTCTTCGAATTTCTACACGCTTCTCTTGCCCCTTCGCTGGAGGGGGCCGGGAACGGGGTGGTTCCCGAGCGAAACTTTTTCGTTCCGCGCCGAACGACCCCCTCCCCGCGGCGAACGGACGAGTCCCCGCTCGCTGATTGATCCGAGATAGTTTTGCGGAGTATCAAACGGGGTGACCTTCTCGGTGTTGCCCTGGTCATGGGTGTATATAGAGATGCGTTCGTCTTTTCGGCTTGACTTTCCGTGTTGCCGTTATATTTCCCGATTGGCCGTTCCTGTGGCTGCCCGATGTTAGCGATCGTTTTGTATCATTTTATGGGGGTTGATCGCATTTCGTAGGACAGAGTCGTTGCGGTACCGGCGTTTCCGCTCGAGGCAACAGCAACGCTAATGGAGGAAAACCAGTTGAAATTGAAATATGGGAAGGACGATAGAGTCACCGTGGGCGAAAGTGATCGCAATGCTGTTGCTCTTCGCGCTGCGCGTAAGACGAGTCCCTTCCAGCTCGGCGCCAGCACCATCGAGCAATCGACGATCGCCTGAAACAATGTCACGGAACTCTTCGTGGAAGACTGACGGAAGCGTCCGTCGTCTCCGTCCGACGCGAAGGGGTTGCGATAGCCAACGCAGACGCTAGCGTGACCTGAGGGATGAAAACAGTGGAAGGCCCGAGGAGCGGCGATAACCCGGTTACTCTTTGATTTTCACGCTCCGTCTGCCTCGCACGAACAGAGAGATCGTCCTCGAGGAATCTCTGGCTCGACTCGATTCCGTGGGGGATCTTCACGGCTACGAACACTGCGACGCGTCCTCTTCAATGCCTCCAAATTCAAACATTACGATCATTTTCGTACCCGCTATTCTTCGCAATGAAGTTCTCGACAAAGGTCTGAGAACTAATTCTGTACCGACAAAGAAGATATATTATATTCTTCTTCGCCCCTTGGCTATTGTGGTCGCCAAAAAGCCCTTGAAAAGTTTCGCTTCAATTCCAATTCAGCAATTCCATCTTCCGTTGGTCGTACATTATATAATCTGATTATTTTAGATCGTTTTAATGTAGTTCGATTCAGTGTCGCCATGGTTTCGAAACCCTTTCCTAGAAATCCGCGTTGACGCAACGTTCTGCCGTAGTGAAAGGGTTAATAAACTGTGCGATTGTCGAACCGAGTGGTCTATGGCCATTTCCCAAACGATTTCCTTCGTTTCCGTTACTTGACGGTGAACGGTTTAAAATCAAAGTTCTACTGCGTCAAACTGGTCCACAGAGTGTCCATTGCCAGTCGCAGTGCTGGCGGATAGTCGTAAAACCGTTCGTAATGGAGGCGTTTCACAGCAAGAAACTTTGAAGAAAGCTCTCCAGTTCGAGGGTTCAACCGCTGGGATTTGGACGGGGAGAATCGAGCGACAGCCAGTGGCTAGAGGTTTTCCGGGTGACACCGGTTTATTAGGTTAATAGAGACGGAACGCGGGTACGCGCGTCGACACGCGGGACACCGCGCCGCGGACTCTGCGGAAACGGCCGGAAGAGTGGACCCCTCCAGGACCGTCTCGTTATCCGCGAAACGTGTTTACCGTTTTAATGAACGGCGCTTTAATTACTCGGCCGAGCGCATAAAGACGGGGCCGGCCGCCATTGTGCCGGCCTCAAAGCAGTCCTCGAGGAACGCCCGTCAAAAGGTTCGGACTCCGACTGTGGTCCTGTCGCTTCGAGAGGCTGGATCGTCGCTGGATCACAAAGACTTGACCGTTTGCACTCGAATATCTTTACAATCGCGTACAGGTGATAGTTTTTGGGGTCAACTTACAGAAATCGTACGTGAATCGAGGAACAAGGCTTTGTTTCAATAGATCGATGCATCGCAGTTTGATCGATTAATTAATAATATTACAACGAATGATATTAAAAGACGCGGTGAACATACGTTTGTTTGTTTGTTGAGATTCGTGTAACAAGGTCAATATTAAGGACTCTTACGACCACAGCCGCTAATAACATCCAACCTCTCACTCGGAAGACTCTCCCGAAGTGCCCCTAAAAAGGAGGAACATCTTATCGCCAAAGAAAATGGTATTCCCAAGAAACTTTCCGCCGAAAGAAACCCGCTGAGCATTCGATACAGCGAAGAAACCCTGACCACTCAACGCTAGAACTGCCGAACGATAAAACCGACTCTCGTATTTTCTTCTCGAATTTATACAAATACATTTACAGAGATGTCCAGCTTGCGTTCATAAGAATTAATCAATTACTTGGCAGTGTCAACGAAAATGATCCGTGTCTTCTCGATGATCGCGACAGAAGAAAAATGGCTCATTCTGGTACAGTGGAACCCTGTACGGCGCAATTAAAAAACTCCCCGTTATACGGATTTCGCGTTAAACTCCATTTTCAGATACCGCTCCTTCTGTCTCCGCTCGTATTATTCTCTCGCGAAGAATCTCCGTTTCATAATTATTCCCCAGCAATCTGTTAATCGCGCGGAGGCAGTGCCGCTGTAGCTCCGGCGTTAATGCGGGGTAATCCAGGTCGTCGCGACGTTCCTGAAGGAAGCACGGAGAGTCGAAAAACGCAGGAAGAACGTGTCGATGGCGAGGGGAAGGGGCGAGAAAGCGGGAGACGCGAAGAAGCCGGGGGGTTGGCTCGATCGAAGTTGTCGAAGGGAGGGCGCCACCTCGCCGGCCACCCCATTTCCATCGGCTCCCGCGGGCCGCGCACTTATCACCCCTATCATTACCATACTGGTTTGTCATCCCGCTTAATGAGCCGCGAACACCGTCCGCGTTATCCGAGCGCCTTCGGCTCGATTCAGACCGGCGGTCGGCTGTACGACCGGTTCGCGATCGAGAGGAACAGTCGAATCGCGTCGAGACGTTGCAGTTTAGAAAGGAGAAACTCAAACTACTATGTAATGTGTGACTCGACGTCTACATTATTTTCGACGGTAACTTTCAATGGTAATTTTCTCACGATCAACGAGACTCCTCCGCTGTTCTCATTTTCGACTCTCATTTTCGACTAGCAGTTTTCGGATGATCCGCGTGTACAACAGCTACTCCGGACACCTCCCTTCGCTGTTGTGGACTGGGAAGTAGGGGCGAAGAACAGCTCGGCGATTCCGATATAAGGGTAATCTCGGGGCGCGGAAAGCTCACTCGCGAGCATCGCCAACGCTACCTGCAAGGAGTATCGGAGAAGTTAGAAACGGGATTGGTGGTTTCGCAGGAGGATCTCGGAGCGGTTCCACACTCGTGGTTTCATCTACTTAGCGGACTTTTCAGATTGCAGTCCTCGAGGCACGTTACAGAGACTAGGATCCTTCTTCCTGTGGACTGTTTCGAATGTTCAGCTTTTAGTTTTGGATGTGTAGGGTAGATAGATGTCTAACTAGAATTAATCGATTCGAAAAGCTCATTATTGCTCGTTGCAACGTCGCGAAGTACTGAAACAGACCCAACATAAACAACCGATAAAGACACAAGGGAGGAGCACGGGGATAATTGAGAAATAAATAACTCATCGAAGGAATAGAACGGAAGTTCCAGTGAAATCGAATGATACGATTGATCCCGGGATGGGAGATCATCCGCGTTAGCGATCGCGCATTTGGAAATCCATTTGGCCGGCAGCCAGTCGAGAGGCCGGCCGGCCCGTGTATCTAGCTTAAAGCACTCGGAAATCGCGCGTAATTAATTCCAGCCCCCTTTTTCGCGAGCTGCCGGAGCTTTGCCCGTTCCGGCGCTTACGGAAATCTTGAAGCCGAGGACATAATCGCGGCTGACGGGTCGCCGCGCACTGCTCTTTCATAAAAGTTTTACGAGCCCGGGATCTGTCTCGACGGAGATCGGTCGGAGACACGTGACGAGGACAAGATAAACCGCACTCCAGTTCCCAGAAGCGCAGTCCAATCATTCCGACAATTTTTACGAGCCGAGCTGATCTCGACTTTTAACGTGCCAGGAAGCGTGTAGAACAATCAATTTCATAAAAATACAGTAAATTGCGGTAGATATTTTTTAAGTAAAAAATTACCTTACCGTTTAGCGAGTACAGCCAGGTCCTCGAATTCGCAACGGTTCGCCCGAAATGGATCAGTGTGTCGCGCCATTGCGCAAAGATCGCAAGAATGTTGCTGATTTGGCCAGTGAACTGTGGCGAAACGTGACAATCCCATAAATCAAACTTACTTTATTCACGAAGGAACGAGTGACGCTTCGTTGCGAAATGAAATGTCATGAGAATTGTCAACGGTTCATACGATATTCATTGTTTCGTGGCAAATATAAGTGGTATTAGAAACAATTATTAACGATTTGGTATCACAAGTCTGATGGTTACACTATCGTCTAGTTACTCGCGTTAGTAAATATTTTTATTTCGGGATTAATCTTTTTATTGCAATTGTTTGTAGGCTTCAATCTGCTTTCGTTACGTTGAAGCACTTTCGTTAACCTTAAAGAGGACAGTCGAGTGTAAAGAGCTAAATATATCTTCTTAAGAATAAAGAATATTTGTGCAAAAGGAAAGAGGGAAAAAGATTGTGGGGAAGAGGAGAGGAACGAAAGAGCGTTACGTCGTTAACGAAGCACGACGGCGCTTCTTCTCGACGACCACAACGACGGAGAAGAAAGCATTGGTATTCGCGGCACGATCGTACACCGTGTTACTTCACGTTTTTCCGGGTTAAGGGAGGACTACCCGAGCGGAACTCGCTCTCTTCTCATCATTTGGTATGCCATTAATTAATTTGGCGCTCGAGAGCCAGCCAGCCAGCCAGACGCGACTCGCAATTAGTGCCGGGAAATCAAAATGGCACGTGTGCGCGCCAGCTGCTCCCGTAAATATGGCGGCCCGGTCTCGGGAACGATGCTGCGCGGCGTATCTTTCGAATGTTATCGCGATTCCACTGATCTGTTCCCTAAATTCCGTGCCTATAATAGAAATTTAAACTTTTTACTATCGCGAGTCATCGTAGAAATTCACAAAATAATCAAAACTTATTTCACTTCGTGATTTGAACGGCTACAAATACCAAATATAGAAGTATACCGTAATGAAATGTTTAATTAAAGAATCGTGAAAATCGATGACGTGCTGCAGTATAATCTTTGAGATATGCATACATCTATATAGAAATATCACGAATATCTGGGAACATGCGAACAGCACGAGCACCGAAACAATTAAATAAAATGTGTTCTGTTTATCTCACGGTTTCGATCGTTTCTTTAACGAAATCTAGAGATCACGAGCGGCGATTTTACAGGGAAAAGGGAGCCAGTGTCGAAGAAAATGGAAGGAAAACAGTGAGTCGACGAATCAGTCCGCACGCGATCCCACGATTTGCAGGTTCACGGCTTCCAAGGACGACCAGCCCGCCTACAAAGCAAATATAATTCACGAGCATCCACCGTTCGCCTTCTTTTCATTTATTCTTTCGCAATTTCGTATTCCTGACCGACGGAAGCCAACAGTCAGGCGTTCCTCATCCGTTAACCTTTATATTAGCAACCGTTCTTTCATTTTGACGAAAATTCTTTTCCGTTTGACGAAATTGCTTCGAATGTCCATTTCTTCGACACTTCTAGATAAATAAAACTTTCTGAATGATTTAACGAATATTAAGAAATAAAGAAATACGGAAATAGTATTAAATGAAATCAAATATTCTGTAAAGATATTGTAATACCCAAGCGTGAGGTGATCGTAAAAAATTTGGCTGTTGATATAACCGTTAATCTACTTCCGGTGGACGAGTATCGTCGCCATTCGAATTCCCGATCCTCCTCGACTCCGTATTCGACGGTTTAAGGGGGTGAGCGACGCGAGACGATAAACGGCCCGTTCTTCTTGCGATATTATCCGGCCTCGACTATAAATTCGAAGTCGGTCGGGCCGTTGTAACGGAAGCGGCGAAAACGACCGTGAACGCAATGCGGAAGAATACGATGCACATCACGGTCACGCATGCACGGACTTCTCCCCGTGCCACGCTCGGCCTTGAACCACTTTTTCTGCCCTGCATTTTCCCCTTCGCGAACAGACGCGAAACCATGCGTTCTCAACATTTCAAATGCGAAATTTTTACAAATGAAAATGCGTTTATTCCTCCATGCGTTACGTAAGACAGAAACATCCTAGGGAAAAATGATTTAGAGAACATGAAAGTAGAAGTATTAGGCTTTATAATGAGTCCAGGAAAGATGTTGAATGATTTTTCATTGTAAAGTTATAAGTATTTAAATATCGGAATTTTGTTAGGTTATAATGTAACGAGTCTTTATTTTAGAGAATTAATTAATTATCTTTGGAAAATGCAGTTCCATTGTTGCATTAAATGTATGTATAAGAAAAATACAAGATAATGCCATCAGGGAATCAAAGAAGTAGATCAACTTCTGAATGAGACCATAAATGATGAAGTAATGAGACCTGTATAGGAGCTGTATTGATCAGTTTTTGTTTAAGTAATGGGCTTAAAGGGACTATACACTCTGTGGCTTATTACTGAACATGGAAGGTTTATTAATTGCTACCTTCGTATTGACATGCTGCCATCTGCATGCATACTCTATAAAGACTTCAAAGTCTACCAGTTCATGATAATCCTAAGAGTCGGTATAAGAAAATTTATTATAACAAAGGTAAGATATCAACAGAACGTTTTATTTACAGGATTAAAAACAAACTAGATTTTGAGTGCGCTTATTCTTTAGGTTTCTCCTCTTTCTTTTCCTCTTTCTCTACAAAACCACTCTTGATACCCACTTTCTGCAATTCTTGTACTAACTCTCCATTCCTGTGCATTTCCAATAGGATGTCGCATCCACCCACAAATTCACCATTAATGAACACTTGTGGTATCGTGGGCCAGTTGGTATAGTCCTTAATACCTGATTGCAAAAGAAATTATTCCAGCTTTGATAAGACCTTATTATTACAACTTTTATTGGAAACAATCAATGTTCTGGATAATAACAATTACCTTGTCTAAGTTCCTCGTCTTGAAGAACATCGTGCGCGTCATAGTTGACATTGTGCATCCTCAATATTTGAACAACCGCATTACTGAAACCACATTTGGGTTCTTCCGGTATACCTTTCATGAAGACTACCACCTTGTTTTGCTAAGAAAGGATCAACCAATATTCTGTGACTTGTTATTAAGAACTGACAACCCGTAATACTAAACTAATCTTTGTATCTTAAATCTATGCCCTCTTTCTTGTACTTCAATAGAAGTAATACGAATTTTTGGTAACAAAGAGCTGACATGAAATACAAACTAACACACTCGCTTGCGTTATTAAATTACAAGTAATTGATATCTCGAAACTTCAAATACTGACAAATAAAATTATAGAGAATTTCATTCACATTATATTAAGAACGTAGAATCACCAGCTTACTTTAACAAGATTTCCAATTTTATCCAGTTTCGTCGCGAAGCCTCTGACGGCATTATAAAATCTAAATGGAATCATGTCTCTGACAGTGGTGTGTTATGTCTGTCGACAGAAGCTTTAATTTGTTAATAAAAAAAGTACACCATTTAAGAGGTTACCCGGCTTAGACACAAATCGTGGATGAGCGCATAGCATTTAGTGCCGCCATCTTAATTGACTATTACCTAACAAAAAAGCATGCCATCTAGCGATCATATAAATTACTACCTCGAAGTCACCTACAGATGTTAAGTGTGCAACATCGGAGACAAAGTCTCCTAAGGTATTCAGTCTATCTCTTACCTGTCGTCGGTGATATAATTTTCTTACCAATTACAGATAAAATATGTTAAAGCGAAAATTACTATAAGACGATATGTCAGTGCGAATCCACAATCTGTTCCGATCATTCTATTTTAATTCACAGCAACTGCCGCTAGATAGCCAAACTGTCACCCTCTCGAAAAGGATCATGAAAATATTCAATGCCTCGACAAAGGGAAGTAAATTGTAGGATCCAACATCTGCTAACGATCTTGTCGGTGATTCGTATTCGAGAGACGTTGCATTAGACATTTCGCTTTGAAAATATTCTCAGGTTTTCGACTAACAAAGATCGTGAAACGTCTATCGATCCTGCAGCCCTCCGATAATGAAGTCACACGAAGAGGTATCCCGACAATTTTTGTCGTCTCCGAGCTCTCACGCTACTTAATCTAAATTCTCATTGAAACACTGCACGCATACATCTTTCGTAACTATTGCAAGCCATGATTACGTAATGTGTTATTATTTTAAATTATATGAAATCATCCTTGCGCAATCTACTTCGAATGTATTTCATGATTATTCATAAAATATTTATTACCGTGCTTGCAACTATTTCTCCCATGACAATCTGCGATCGTCGAGCAATTGAAATTATACATCGAATTACGATAAATAAAGAATAATTTTCAAGAGAGAAACCAATGATACGAGTTTCGTGCGACAGACACGGTGGAACAGTATTTCCCAGCCACTTCAAATTCGATCTACATATATACGTATGTATATCAACGTTCGTGGCCTATTTACGCGAGCTCCTAGTACAGGTCTTTACTTACGAGTCATTTTCTATAAACTTTAAGTCTGCAATTTCGTCGATGTAAGGGAACAGTAACAAGGCTGCTCAAACTTCGAATGTAAATGTCACTGCCTCGTTTGAACCTATTCACGAGGTCATCACAGACTCGTCGAGTCTGTAAAAATTCCAGTAACCTAGGAACACAAACATACGTCTGCGCAAGAAATTCTTTTCGGTGACGCTATCCTGTTTTGTGGCGCGATTACTTGCATATTCATAAATATAGTAAACTTATCTTATCTCCTTCGATACGGTATCAGCTCGACTAAAAGCACGCTCAAGATCTCTTTAGGGGAGCCGTTGCCAAATTATTTCACCGTTAATCCAGGAAGAATGTTCGTTAACCTTCATTCTCAAATCTTAATATGAAGTCCGAATAAAAGAATAATACAGCTAATTCCGCTCGTCGCTCGAACACCGATAAATAAGTTAATTACCGTTTCCGTTGTTCAGCGTCATCCCGATGCGAACCTAATTTACTCGCCAGTGGGCAACCATAGCGGATTTTTCTCGTTCTTAAATAACCGTGACGCGCGCGTGGGTTTTTTTATCCGAGTAGACTATATTTACACGTCGAGTTGAGTCTGGTCGAGTGCATTTTCCCCGTGACGTAACGGTGAAAAATTGTTACGGGGAAAACTCGTTAGCCGACGCCGCACGTTCGTAGCACGTGGATGTCCTTTCGAAATCCATGACGTCACGTCGAAATCATGGTCATAGCGAGCGATCACCATGGAAACTCGCCTCGCGAACCTACGCGAGGACGCCCACGAGATTTTAAAGTTCGCCGGGTACACGCGTCGCGGCGCCCAGCTTCACGGACCAAGTCCTTGCGATAGGTCACGGATGAAAGCCACAAAAATGGCAACAGGTTAAATGTTCAACAAATATTCCGACCGCCTTGCTTTCGTCGCGACGTCTCCACCTAACCTAAACTTCCTGCCGTCAAAGAATGCCGGATAAACGTTCGATTCGACGTTACGCTATTTTCCTGCGTTCCGTCGAATCCGAATTCACCGGAATTCGCCGGGCGTGGATAGACGATTCTTCGATCGGTTAACCTAACTTTCGAATCGCGGAGTCTTCGATCGACGCAGTGAATGCCACGGGATTTCGTAGAGCGAAATACAGAAAGCAAAAATATAATATTCAGTCAGAAATGTTTTCGATTCGATTTGGGTCACCGGTGACCCCCATGGCGTTCAACGAATTATCGCGCAAACTAAATAGAATCTCGCGTCGAGTGGCAAGACGGCCTTCCAATGGGCGTGTACATTTTTACGATTGCGTAAGCTCCGAGGGGCTTACTTATTGTCCACGGTTACACATTCGCGTTATAAGATTACGTGACGTAACGAAGTTGAAAGAAGCACGGCGTTTCCTACTTCTCGCCGCGTCGTTTCGCGCGACGTCCGCTGCGACGAGGAGCGAACGACTCAGCGAAAAGCGACGCAGCGTCGGAATTCCAGCATCGGAGGAATATTCGGTTGCGAGCCGGCCTGAAACAACCGGGACGTCGTCGTTCCGGAGGAAAACGCGTGCGTCCGCCTCGGCCGAGAGGCTCGGTCGGCAAGGCAGAGCGCGCGAGGTTACGTCCAGCGACACACGCAACGATCACACGTGATCTCGCGCGACGACCTTGCGTTCGGTGGTACTCTCGGTGAAACTGCGACTACAACGCGACTGCACGGCAAGAAACGGCGGCTACGCGAGTTTAGAGCTCGCCGGGCAGGGGAGCGAGGGGAGGCCAGGTAAGGGG